TTATTTTCAATTACCCAGTAACACTCTGGAAGTGAAGGTGGGGTTGAAGGGATAGAGTACCAGCTATTGAGGGAAAAAGCCAAGTAGCATACTAGCATGTGTATGCACACATACAAAAAGACACACAAATAAAAGCCTTGTTACTACCACAGTTCTATGAAATATAAACCAACATCCTGACCATATCAATAGAATAAGTACTGAAAAGGGAGAGAAAAGCTGTCACTGTGTGCATTTGACAACACTGGAGAATCAATATTAGAACTCAACATTTATCAAAGGTATAAACTCAAGATAGATACATAAAGCTCAATATACTTTTTTTTGTTACCAGAAATAACAGGAAATCATTTTCAATGGCAGTAATAAGGAATTAGCCAAAAAAATAAAATGTCTGAACAAATGAACATCATGCTCATGGAGATGATTTTACCTTGTAAACATGTCCATATATTCATTCACAATTCACCCATCTTTCTAAATCCAAAAAATACTTCAGCAGCTTGTTTTAGGGGACTTTGTAAACTGACAGTAAAATGTATATAGAATAAAATTCTACACATAACTATTTTTTTGCAAAGTAAACAAAGGAATGACATAAGGAAGACAAAGGAATTACAAAGTTATATTAGATGATGTTGTCCTGGGAAAAGAACCTACATATACCAGAACATTGTCATGTTTATGACAACTCAGTGTATAAGGAAATGGAGAAAACATGGATTATTTAGTAGATAGTGTTATGAAAACAGACCACAATTCTACTTGGCATGCTTAAAGACACAAGTCCACACCAAAGGCACTTAGGCTTGCAGAAAGATATTGCATCCTCTTTACCTAACTCTCATGTGCTACAAGAAGCACTATCTTATAAAAATCTGAAGGTATATTCTAGATGCCTGCAACATTAGCAAGCTCAGCTACTGTTCATACCTTACTCAGCAAAGTCTTAAAACCTCTGAGTTTTCTGTTTATAATTTAAAAATGTTGCTGTTAAGTAATGATCATTCCATATTATTATTATTTTTGATCTGTTGTGGGGCTTGAACTCTGGGCTTGGGTGCTGTCTCTGTGCTCTTCAGCTAAAGGCTAGTGCTTTACTACTTTGAGCCATAGTGCCACTTCTGGTTTTCTGGTGCTTAATTGGAGAGTCTCATGGACTTTCCTGTCCGGGCTGGATTTGAACTGTGATGCTCAGATCTCAGCCTCCTGAGTAGCTAGGATTACAGGTGTGAGCCACTGGCACCTGGTGTCATTTCATATTTTAGCCCCGTGGATTTCCAAGAAGAGTGTTTTGAAGAATGTAAACTTATGATTTTTTTTTTGTGTGCCATACTAGGGCTTGAATTCAGGTCCTCAAGCTCTTACTTGGCTATTTCATTCAAGGCTAACACTCTACCTGACCCACAGCTTTACTTTCAACTTTTGGCTGGTCAACTAGAGATAAGAATCTTATGGACTTTTATGCCTGGGCTGACTTCAAACTGATTCTCAGATCTCAGACTAGCATTACTGGGGTGAGCATCTGGCTTATAATCCCCCCCAACCCCCACCCCCCCCCCCCTCCCATGGAGATAGTGACTCTTAAGTTAAACACTACTATTGTGAAATGTGCAAAAGTGTGTCTGGGGTTTAATATAGTAAATGTCCCACAGGATTTTGGAAATGAAACAGTTCATGCTCCCAAATAAGATAAACTAAATAAAAAAACTACATAATATAAAAGGACATTTGGAGAGGCAATACCAAATAAACAATATTTCTTTCTTTCTTTTTTTTTTTTAGTCTGGTCGTGAGGCCTGAACTCTGGGCCTGGGTGCTGTCCCTCAGCTCTTCAGCTCAAGGCTAGCCCTCTACCACTTGAGCCACAGCGCCACTTCCGGCTTTTTTTCCCCTGCTTATGTGGTGCTGAGGAATCGAACCCAGGGCCTCATGTATGCAAGGCAAGCACTCACCACTGAGCACCTTCCCAGTCCAACAATATTTTTTATGTTGAGCAAATATTCCACTGTTAAGTTACCAAGTACAGTAAAATAATTTAAAATTGTATTTTGGGCGAAATTATATGCACAGGTAAGCTAATTTTAATTTTTAATGAAGTATGTGCGAAGCTCTAATAGACCATTAACTTTGTGATAATTTTATAGGATCTCTGAAGTTTAAGTACACAAAAAACTCTTTTGATTGTACTACGCATTTTTTTAAGGTGCTCTCATGTGACAGATAAGGAAACTGACAAATAATGGAACTTTAATCTTTTTTTTTTTTTGGTTCCAGTCATGGGGCCTGAACTCTGGGCCTGGACGCTGTCCCTCAGCTCTTCAGCTCAAGGCTAGCGCTCTACCACCTGAGCCACAGCGCCACTTCCGGCTTTTTTCTTTTTGGTATGTGGTGCTGAGGAATCAAACCCAGGGCTTCATGCATGCAAAGCAAGCGCTCTACCACTGAGCCATCTTCCCAGCCCCGGAACTTTAATCTTAAATTAAGTAATGGTTTCATGACTAGAATCTGGATCTCCCAAATCTAAATTTGAGGACTTACTTTTGTTTGACCTACCTGTAGGCAATTTTTAAAAAATATGTTTAAATCTAGTATTTTTCTTTAAGTCAGAATGACACTGAACATGTTGGTCTCCAGCAGGTAATACATATAAGTGACAGGAAGGAAAATAGAGATAATATTAATTCCAAACCTGCAAAAATTGACTTTTTAATATTTATCTTTTAAAAAGTCAATTAAGTTTAATACATTTTTATTTGACAAGTAAAAGTAACTCTACAATCTAACAAAAATAAAAACTTAAACTGTATTCATTTTTTTTCATTAAAGAAAGCACAAAATAAAGAATAGCTGTATTCAAGCAAATAATATTAAATCTAAGTCCCTAAGTCCCTGAAGATGTATATTCCTTTTTTTGTACCTTTTCTTTCCTGAGCCAATAAAATAAAATCAGAAATATGAAAAGAAACCTGCTTTTTTTACTATAACTTTTGATTCATGTAGTTAAAAATGTTGTTTTAATTAGTAATTTCTGTAAAATAGTACTCAAATAAGTTCCTAAGAATATTAGACCCTATTACACATTTAATCTTATTTAAAAGAATTATACTAAAACTATCATGATTAAAGAAGGCTACAGAATGACCCTGTTATGCTAGTCTTTCATTGCTTTTTGTAGGATTGTAATAGAGATTTTAAGATACAGATAGTAATGTATGCTGTAATTTGGCATACTTAGTCAAACAACAAACTATCTAAGAAAAGTGAAATCATTTGTGCTACACTCTTCTTCCTATACAACTTTAATAGCAGTCCTAAATAAACATCCCCATTCTACTTGGCTACTAACAGTCAGTTTAGATGTCTAGACAAAATGTTAGAGCAGGTAGCACATTTTTGATGCCTCAAAGCCAAATTTAGTAAATTTGATCAAAGTTGTATTTCAAGAAAAAATTTTCACAAATCATTTTCTAACAAACCAAAGAACCTTTAATTACAAAACACTAATGGAAGTAATAATATAAGAAACTTCACTGTTTTAACTTGCGAGAGAATATGTGGATGTTAAAATAATAAATTTTAGTATAAGTAGTTATTTTTTCTGCACATGATCAGGATTTGTTTTAAATGCTGATAAGTTACTACATTCTCATTCTTCAACCAAAAGGCTTCCTTCCTGAGAAACCTTTAGTAAAGTTCTTCTGTTGTAAGTGTATTATTTGGTTAGATATAGCTCTAGAATTGCTTATTGGACAAACATGAATCTGTAACAAAGATAAAAATACTGAAGTATAATTTTTATAAAAAATTCAGTTTTCACTGTAAGTTCAGCAGTAGAGTTCATGCCTAGTAAACATAAATGAATTCAAACCCCAGTACTACCAAAAATACTAGTAATAAAATTCATCCTAGCTTCTCAGACTGAAATCTGAAGATCACAATTAGAAACCAGCCCAGCAGATAAAACTGGTGAGACTCTAGTCTCCTTTTTTTTTTTTTTTTTTTTGTCGGTCGTGGGGCTTGAACTCTGGGCCTGGGCGCTGTCCCTCAGCTCTTCAGCTCAAGGCGAGCGCTCTACCACTTGAGCTACAGCGCCACTTCCAGTTTTCTGGTGGTTTATTGGAGATAGGAGTCTCACGGTCTCTCCTGCCCGGGCTGGCTTTGAACCGCGATCCTCAGATCTCAGCCTCCTGAGTAGCTAGGATTACAGGCGTGAGCCACCAGCGCCCGGCTCTAGTCTCCTTTTAACTAGCAAAAACCCAGAAGAGGAAGTATAGCTCAAGTGTCAGCTGGGATTTAACAAAAAAGCCAAGTGAGAGCTCCAAATCAAATAGTACTGCCACCCCCACCCCCAAACAAAAAAGAAGAAAGAAAATTCAGTTTTCAATAATCTTGTATTTTTTTGTCAGTCATGGGGCTTGAACTGTGGGCCTGAGCTCTTCAGCTCAAGGTGAGCTCTCTACCACTTGAGCCACAGTGCCACTTCTGGTTTTCTGGTGGTTAATTGGAGATTAGAGTCTCATGGACTTTCCTGCCTGGGCTGGCTTTGAACCATGATCCTCAGAGGTCAGCCTCCTGAGTAGCTAGGCTTATAGGTGTGAGCCACTAGCGCCTGGCATATTCTTGAATTCTTGATGTGTTAATCTGCAGGGTGCTCACAGCAAGAGTGTGAACTTTCCGATATTCTTGGAAAATATTCATATATAGTATACTGACTGCATTTAGAATAATTATTTTATAGTCTTAGTGGGAAAAAGTACATCAAAAGAAATGTATAGGGACTGGGAAGGTGGCTCAGTGGTAGAGTGCTTGCCTTGCATGCATGAGGCCCTGGGTTCAATTCCTCAGCACCACACAAGCAAAAAGGAAAAAAAAAGCTGGAAGTGGTGTTGTGGCTCAAGTGGTAGAGCGCTAGCCTTGAGCTGAAGAGCTGAGGGACAGCACCTAGGCCCAGAGTTCAGGCCCACGACCGGACCCAAAAAAAAAAAACCAAACAAACAAAAAAAGAAATGTGTATTTAATGGCATATATTTTCAATGTTTAAAGAATTTTAATATGGAAATTTTATAATTACACAAGGTAACAGAGAACCAATGAAAAAATTAAAACTCCCTACCACTAGAATTGATTATATCATTAAGTGCAAGCCCAAAAGGACTAGAATCTTGGGTTGGAGGAAAAAGAAAATAAATCTTTTTATGTATTTTTACTGATTCAGGGTAAAAACTAGTTGTAAAGAGAAGAGTTATACTCTGTCATTCTAGGACTACCTTTATAATGCTTTCACAGTGACTGTTTCAAGATAATATGTATAAAAGATAATTTTATCTATTATTTGTAGGTAAAAACATATTACTACCTAAAGTAAACCCAACACTGGACATAAAACATCAGAAAATTTTTATTCAGTTTACTTAAGATTATAAAAAATTAGCTTTTTGGCCTATTCTGATATGTATATGTTATCACTGAATTTTTGAGGATTTCAAGTCACTTAACCTACAACTCTGAAAAGCATTAATGATCCCTTCTGAAGTAAACCATATATTCTATAGTTCATCAAAATTACTGTTCTAATAAGCCAAGGGACTTAAATACAGGAAAATGAGAGCAATCTCCATAATCTTAAAAGCTAGGTGAAATAAATGTCTTCGTGGTCCAATAAATTGTAAAATGTAACCAGGTCACTAGACCAACATATTAGTGTATAACTTTAATAATTTCTAGCAGCAAAACACCTGGAATAGCCAATAACAAATGTTTTCATTGAATTGTAGACTAATTTCTTTATAAGAAATGATTTTTAAAAGTACTCTAAAGTATTGTTCAACTGCACCCAAACATGAAAGATATCAAAGATCTTGTTTATCTCCACTTTTCCCTGTGGATTCAGGTGTACCAGGAACCTTATTGGATTCAACAAAAACAGATTCAAAGGCAGCTTCCTGTTCATCCAAGGAATCAGCAGCTGTGGCTCCTTTAATTACTGTTGGGTTGGTAAAAGATTGTTGCTGCTTGGAAACTTTACTCAATTCTACTGTTTTTCTACCTCTTCGTTTACCCAGAATTTTGACATAATTTGCAGGAATAAGTCCTGTTGTTTGACCATCAAGACTTGCCAGAAGCCAGCCACGCACTTTGGGTTGTTGTTCTGAAGAAAAAAAAAGAAAACCTTGTAATTATACTTCAAGGGTCTAACCAAATATTGATAAAATCTAAGTAAAACATACCTTCATAATGAAATGTATAAACAAGTAACATGTTTTTATAGTCAAAAGTAAATGTTAAGGTCCATGTTCTTGTTCTGTTCCCCTTTCTTTTAAATTATTCACATATTAAACTAACATTTTAAACACTGAAATCTTTTTTTTCCCCCTACCCTCTGTAGAATGCCTACCACAGTTCAAGAGACTCAAATTTCTATTAACAGGTATTACTATAGAAAAGTTATCAAGAGTAGATAAAAGTTCAGGTTTGAGCCTAGTGCTGGCGGCTCATACCTATAATCCTAGCTACTCAGGAGGTTGAGCTCTAAGGATTGTGATTCAAACTTGGCCTGGGTAGGAAAGTCCATGAAACCAAGAAACCCAGAAGTGGAGCTATGGCTCAAGCCATTGCTCAATGCTAATCTGGAGCAAAGAGTCATAACCAGCCTTACCATATCTTAGCTTAACTGGACAATTTATTCATCTTGAGTCTCAGTTTTCTCATATGCAAAATAAGGGTAGGATAACAGAACATGACATTCTGCAATAATCCAGAATTCACACAAACAAGAATTCACATCATTTTTATTAAGGAAAAGTCATTTTGTCAGGAATCATTAAAACCTATTAGTGACCTGTTCCAAACTATTCCTGAGATGTGTATATATTACTTGCTGAGGTTCTTTAGTATTGACTATGAAAGATAAATTTTAGTATCCATCTCAAAGTTAACTAAGAAGGAACAAGAGCCTTGGTTGTAGTTTCTAATACTACTTTTTTTTTCCTTTTGGGTCCGGTCGTGGGGCCTGAACTCTGGGCCTGGGCGCTGTCCCTCAGCTCTTTAGCTCAAGGCTAGCACTCTACCACTTGAGCCACAGTGCCACTTCCAGCTTTTTTCTTGCTTATGTGGTGCTGAGGAATTGAACCCAGGGCCTCATGCATGCAAGGCAAGCCCTCTACCACTGAGCCGCCTTCCCAGCCCCTCTAATACTACTTTTGTAAATATTAAAAATTCGGAGTTAGTTTGAAGGCCACATTAGTTTGGCTCATACTTGTAATCCTAGTTACTCAGAAGGCTAGATCTGAGGATGAAGGTTTGACAACCTAGGCAGGAAAGTCAGCAGGATTCTCATCTCCAATAAACTACCAAAGAAAGCTGGATGTAGAGCTATCGCTCAAGTGGTAGAGCACTGGCCTTGAGCCAAAAGCTCAGGGACAGTGCCCAGGCCCTGAGTTCAAGTTCCAGAACCAGAAACAAACAAAAACAAAAACAAACCAGAGATATTTTCAACTTATTACCTTTGAGAGCTAAGTTTAACATATCACCAGCACGGAAAGAAATTTCTTCTTCAGATACAGCAGCAAAATCATATTCTGCTCTAGCAACTACGTGGTCATCTTCACCACTTGCCCAGTTGATGTTGCCTACAAGCCAAATTAAGAATTAAGAATAGATTAGTAAATCTTGTGAAAGAGAAATGCAGATATTTTATTGACTGTTGATTATAAATTGTATAAATTTATTTGCAACATACACATTCTTTGGTTGTAATCACCACCAATAAACAGCTTTATTAGCAAATAAGCCATTTGGTTGTTGTTTCACTTTTTTTCTTTTTTTTAGTGAGGGAGGGTAAGAAAATTTTATGATTTCTTCAGTTAATATACATATATATGCATATACAAAGTTAATAGCTATGGTACATAGCTATGGTATCTCTGCTTACACCATCTAATTCAGTAACAAAACAGTCTATAATGTGTTGTTTGTATAACATGCCTCTGTGTACAACTTTTTTCTTTTTAGCCTTAAACATAATTAGGGGGCTGGGAAGGTGGCTCAGTGGTAGAGCGCTTGCCTTGCATGCCAGAGGCCCTGGGTTCGATTCCTCAGCACCACATAAGCAAAAAGAAAAAAAAAGCCGGAAGTGGTGCTGTGGCTCAAGTGGTAGAGTGCTAGCCTTGAGCTGAAGAGCTGAGGAACAGTGCCCAGGCCCAGAGTTCAGGCCCCACAACTGGACCAAAAAAAAACCCAACATAACTAGGTCACATTTTTCTTTTCTTTTGGTCAGTCATGGGAGTTGAACTCTGGGCCTAGGAGCTGTCCCTCAGCTCTTCAGCTCAAGGCTAGCACCCTACCACTTGAGCCATGGCACTACTTCTGGTTTTCTGAGTGGTTTATTGGAGATGAGTCTCACGAACTTTCCTGCCCAGGTTGGCATTGAACTGTGATCCTCAGATCTCAGCCTCCTGAGTAGCTAGGATTACAGGCATGAGCTACCAGTGGCTGGCTCACATTTTAAAAAAAAATTGTATTGGGGATTAAATTCAGGATCTTAACCCTTCTGAGGCTTGCTTGGCTGTCACCTGCCACTTTACCACTTAAGCCATATCTCCTTTTTTTGTGCTGGTCCTGAGGCTTGAACTCAGCACCTGAGTACCATCCCTGAGTTTTTTTGCTCAAGGCTAGTGCTCTACCACCACAGCCACAGCTCTACTTCTGTTCTTTTTGCTGGTCAACTGGAGATCATAGTCTTATGGACTTTCTTGCCAGGAGTAGCTTTGAAATGCACTCTTTAGATCTCATTCTCCTGAGTGGCTAAGATTACAGGTGTGAGCCACTGGCATCAAGCTTTTTAAAGTTTCAGCAATCATTTATTTTAATAGAATAGGGTTAAAGAAGGGAGAAATGGAAAAGATAGAGAAATGTTTCTTGTTCTCTATGCAGAAAATAAGAGTTAAAGACTTCCCAGGCTGCCTTTTGCTGGTTTGATTGAGCCTCACAGACTTTTATGCCTGAACTGGATTCAAATTAGATCCTTCAGATCTTAACATCCTGAGAAGCTAGGATTACAGGCATGAGCCACTGGAACAAAACTTAATTTTTTTCTTTTTCTTTTCTTTTTTTGTCAGTCCTAGAGCTTGAACTCTGGGCATGAGCGCTCAGCTCTTCAGCTCAAGGCAAGTGCTCTACCATTTGAGCCACAGTGCCACTTCCGGTTTTCTAGTGGTTTATTGGAGATAAGAGTCTCACAGAGTTTTCTGCCTGGGCTGGCTTTGAACTATGATCCTCAGATCTCAGCCTCCTGAGTAGGTAGGGTTATAGGCGTGAGTCACCCGTGCCTGGCCAAAGCTTAATTTCTTAAAAGACAAAGGGCCAAGGATTTAGCTCAGTGGTAGAACTCTGTAGTATGCACAAGGCCCTGAATTTGATCAGAGCTTATGCATGGGTCTTAACTACTTTTCTCTCAATAAATTAAAAAAAAAAAGGGCTTGCCTTGAGCTGAAGAGTTCAGGGACAGTGCCCAAGCCCAGAGTTCAAGCCCCATGACTGACAAAAAAAAAAAAAAAAGAGGGATTCAGTATCTTTACAATAAAAAAAAAAAGGATTAGGGATTATGCCCTGTGTATCTTTGTGTTCACATAGTATCAAGTTCACTACTTTCTAAATTCTGGCTAAATAATAAAGAAATAAATCAGCAAGTTTGTCTTTGCTATTATTTTAGTGAAGAAGCTCTTAAAACAGTAAATGCAAATAAAGGATGTTAATTTAAGTATATCTATCCTTTTTTTTTTTTTCTTTTTGAGATAGGATATCACTATGTCACTCAGGCTGGTCTTAAACTTATGATCTACCTCCTGTCTTAGTCCTCCAAGTGCTAAGATTAAAGTCTTAAGTCAGCACCCATGGCTGAAAAAAATCTGTTCTTAAGGTTTAAGATTGTTACATGGTTTCTGAACCTGTTCCCTTATTCTTACCTGTTACTTCATCACTGTGAGTAGACAGAAGCTTCCAGATGAGATAAGGACCACCAAGAATAACAGCAAAGAACAAGAATATTGGCCAAGATTTTGCTGAGTTAGCTGCTGGGTCATAAGCACCAAGGGAGGCCACAGTTCCTTCACTCTCTGCCCACAGGTCTTCATTCTCCGAGCCTCTTCTCAAACCCATCATCCACTGTATTCGTCTATAAAGGTATCTTATAGTCCTAACTAAAGCAAAAGCTGAAAAAACCTTTGTAAAGTGTATTTTTAATCTGGAAAAGTGATTTGCTACATCCAATACAGCCCTGAAACTGTTATAGACAGCGGAAAAGGTAGCATCCATCATCATACTGACAGAGGCAAATGCATGTACAATACTTTCAATGGACTGAAATGCACCTCTGCTGCTTTCTTCTGCTTGCTGAACGAACCTACTGGGTGGAAGTTCATCTACACGGAGGCGGTTAAAGCTCAGCCCATTATATCCATAATTATAAGGGCTATAGCTTCCATAAAATGAATTTCCATAGGTGCCATAGCCAGAAGAAAATGAACTGTAAGCAGGTCTGAAAGTGTTCACACTGCTGCTCCCTGTCTGCTGGGAGGGCCTTGGAAGAATAGGTGGGGGCACTCTGGTTAGTGTAGGTTGTCCAGGTCTTGTCAATAAAGTAGGACCCAAGTCAGCAGATCTAAAATCAAAAACATTCAAATAGTTACTTAAGAACATAATATACTCAATAAATCTGTTATTAAATCCAGTGTTTTAATTTTTGGTTATTGTATTTTTTTGCTCTATAATTGTTTTTTTCCAGTCCTGGGGATTGAACCTAGGGCCTAAACATGCTAAGCAAGTGCTCAACCAATTGAGCTACACTTCTACCCACTCCTTTTTCCTTGTCAGTAGTGGAGTTTGAACCCAGGGCAGAGGCAGGCACTCTACCATTTGAACTATACCCACAACCCTTTTGGCTTTATTTTTCAGGTAGGGTCTTGCATTTTTGCCTAAGGGCTAGCTTTAGATTGGAATCCTTAACTATAGCCTCCAGGTGTCCAAGATTACAAGTCATCCTAGAGGCCAACATTTCTGGTTTTCAAATAGGCTCATGGCTATTTGATTTTGCTTGAATAAAAGTTACAAAAAAATTATATTACTGGTGGCCCACACTTATAATCTTAGCTTCTCAAGAGGCGAAAGTCCAGAAGATCAAGTTTTGATCTCAGTCTGGGCAGAAAAGCCTGTGAAAGTCCATCTACAAAATAACCAGCCAGGGCTGGGAAGGTGGCTCAGTGGTAGAGTGCTTGCCTTGCATGCATGAGGCCCTGGGTTCAATTCCTCAGCACCACATAAGCAGAAAAAGCTGGAAGTGATGCTGTGGCTCAAGTGGTAGAGCACTAGCCTTGAGCTGAAGAGCTGAGGGACAGTGTCCAGGCCCAGGATTCAGGCCCCATGACCAAAACCAAAAACAAAAATAAAACAGCCAAAAGCCAAGGTACAGATGTAACTCAAGTGGAAGAGTGTCAGCTGAACCAGTAAGCCATACTACTTCAAAGCCTTGAGTTTACATTCTGGTACAAAAAGAGAAAGACCTGTATGATGTTCACTTCTTCCAAACATGCTTTGTTCTAGATATTGTTTCTCCATTACCTCGTACAGTGTTTGACATAAAATAGGCACTGATACAAGTACTACAATGGATTTTCTCATCAGTGAATATTAATGTATATATATATTATCATAGACTATGAATAGTTTCTTGTGTAGTCTTGTTTCATCAATTGCAATCAATGTTATTTTAAAAAAATTATGAAGAATCTATCTAAACACTCAGAATCAGCTTTTTTTTTTTTTTTTGCCTTTCTCTGGTTTTAATGCTATCTTATGACATACTTAATCATCTAGTGTTCACTGTATATTTTTGCTTCTGTTAAAACTAGTTAAGGACAACTAAAAAAGATTGCGTAGGACAAACCATGTGTTGTTAATGTTAAGTGTCCAGTCTTCCCTTCTTAACTTTTTATTTGAAAGATTTCTAACAGAAAAACAATTTGGAAGAATGTAGTCAATTATTAGGATTTTGCCACATTTCCTATTCTTGTCTTACACAAATTATTTAAGCACCTGAAATTTACGTAAGCTGATACGCCATCCCTTACTATTTCTGAAATATACACCTTGTAAAAAGAGACATTTCATACAAGATAATCATAATTTTAAATCCCATCATTAAAATTAACAATAGTTTCACAAATCTATTATCCAAATGATAGTCAAAATGAATCCAGATGGACTCCAGCTATAATCCTAACTACTCAGGACACTGGGATCTGAGGATCACAGTTTGAAGCCAGCCCAGGTGGGGAAGTCCATGTATCTCCAATTAATCACAGAAAAAACTGGAAGTGGAGCTGTGGCTCAAGTGGTAGAACACTAGCCTTGAGCAAAGTGGAACCAGGGATAGCGACCAGGCCCAGAGTTCAAAAGTCCTGGGACCCGCAAATAAACACCCACCACTCCCCCCACAAAAAAAAATCCATATGGCAAATAGACACACGAGGAAATGGTCAACATCCCTGGCACAAAGGAAGTGCAAATCAAAACATCTTTGATATTCCATCTCACACCAGCTAGATTTGCCAACATCAGGAATTCGAATAGCAACAACAAACACTGGCAGGGATGTGGGGCAAAAGGAACTCTATTACACTGGGAATGTAAACTAGTATAACCACTTGGGTCAGCAGTCTGGAGGTTCATAAAAAAACAAAACAGAACAAAACAAAACCCTATGGATCTTCCCTACAACCCAGCCATTCCATTCCTGGGCATCTACCCAGAATATCACAAGCCAGGATACCATAAAGATACTTGCATATCCATGTTTATTGCTGCACTATTCAAAATAGCCAAGTTATAGAAACAGTCCAGTTGGCCTAAAACAGGTAAGTGGATCAATAAAATGTAGAATATATACACAATGAAATTTTACTCATCCATTAGAAATAAGGTTATGTTATTTACAGGGAAATGGATGGACCTAGAACAAATCATGTTAAGTGAGGTAAGCCAAGCTCAGAGAGACAAATAGCACATTTTCTCTCTTATGTGGAAGCTAGATCTAAAACAAAGTGGACATAATTATATAGGCCTCTAGGCATTTAAACACAAACAGTTACACCAAAGGAGGATACCAGTAGGGGAGGAATCCAAAGTGTAGACATAACCAGGCATAATAGGAGATAATCAGACTTATGGAACAGAAATAAAAGAAAAATGCAAAAAGTATCAGAGTGCCAATGCCTCATGCCTATAATCCTAGCTACTAAGGAGGCTGAGATCTGAGGATCATGGTTGAAAGCCAGCTGGGGCAGGAAAATCGGTGAGACTCTCATCTCCAATAAACCATCACAAGACTGGAAGTGGCACTGTGGCTCAAGTGGCCGGGTGCTAGCCTTGAGCTGACAGCACCCAGGTCCAGAGTTCAAGCCAAATGACTGACCAAAATAAAAAAAAAATGTAAAAAATGAAGAAGACTGAAAGTACAGGCCTACTATATATTCTGGGTTGGGATCAAGCTAAAATGAAATAAAAAATTTTAAAAACTGAATTACTCATTGCCTGAGGCCGGGAAATAGGATAAGCTACCTGATTCCTATTTGCTGACTTGCTAATTTTAAGATTTTCACAAAGTTACAAACCTAAAAAGGGGGTGGATTCTGATATGCTGCAAGCTCAGGAAATAAACCAAGTTAACATCTACAGACACAGTGACAATCTGAGATCTCCTTAGTCAGCTTTTTTATATCTGATTATTATATGGAATTGGGTGCCAAGGAAACAAGTAGACGCAACAGAAAACCTACTAGGCAGAGAAAGAAATGTAGAAAAAGGAAAATGTAAAAAAAATAGAACTCTACGATTCCTACTCAAAATAATTGTGTTAAAAAACATCACTAAGGCTGGGATACAGCACTTGCCTCTAGCAGTGATTGAATCCTGGGGTTCAATCCCTGGCATAGGGTAGGGGTGAGAGACACAAAACGTGAAGTGTAAACATCAAGAAACAAGGCCAACAAAAATCAACATTATTATTTTTTCAAGGAAAAACTCATTTAATGTAATAGCAAATCAAAGATTCTAGACATATTTAAAAATCACCAGAGATAAAGCAGTATCTGTGAAAAATCAAAGGAAGTAAAACATGTAAACATTTAAAAAATTCCATTAGAAAGTTCAGACGATACCTGCAACCACAGGAACTATGCTGCAACTATACGACAAAAAAATTAGTTGTTCGACTTTAAGGAACAGAGTAGAAATATGGAATTTTGGGATTACACTTTAAGTAATTGCAGTCTGGGTAATGAGACTAACCCTCCAATGGAAACATAAGATAAGCTAGTATCTGCTTAAAGCATCAGAGAACAAGGCACTGAGAATTTTTGGTGTTGGGATCAGGAGTGAAAAAATAATTTATAGAGGCTGGCCTTTTTAGATATTTCTCTAGGGACTAGGGACAATTCAGGAGGAGGTGGCTGACAGGATGAGACAACCCTGTAGAGCTTTTAAACAGACCCGCTAGGCCAAGCAACCCTAAAAGAGAATGAACATAGTAAGCCTCTACCCTTCAGACCTGGACCTTTGTTTTTCTTTTACTGCTGCTACTGCTTGAACTCTGGGATTTACACTCTCATTTGGCTTTTTGTTCATGGCTGGTATCCTACTAAGCCATACCTCCAGTTCTCCAGCTCTGGCTTTTGCTAATTAGAGATAAGAATCTCTCAAATTTGTCCAGGATAGCTTTGAACCAGGATCCTCAGACCTCAGCCTTCTGAGTAGCTAGGATTGTAGGTGTAGCGACTGGAATCTGCGTGTGCCCGCGTGCCAGTAATGGGGCTTGAACTCCAGGCTTGGGTGCTGTCCCTGAGCCTTTTTGCAAGGCTAGTGCTCTGCCATGAGCCACAGCTCCAGCTTTTTGTGGTTAACTGGAGATTAGTGTCTCATGGACTTTTCATGCATAGGCTAGCTTCAAATTGCAATCCTCAGATCTCAGACTCCTGAGTAGCTACGATTACAGGAGTAAGCCCCCAGCTCCTGGCTTTGCTTTTTATTTTTGATAGGCATTCTATCAAATTTCTCTCTACTTTATTTGGATTTTGTTGCTGTTGGTGGTGGTTGGGGGCTTGAACTCTGGGCTTGGGCGCTGTCCCTTAGCTCTTCAGTTCAAGGCTACCTAGTGCTGGAGCCACAGCACCACTTCTGGTTTTCTGGTGGTTAATTGGAGGTAAGTCTCACGGAAATTCCTGCCCAGTCTGGCTTTGAACCTCCATCGTCAGATCTCAGCCTCCTGAGGATTACAGGCGTGAGCACCAGCGCCTGGGTTTTTTAACTACAATTTCTAAGTTGCCCAGGCTGGCCTTGAATGCATGGCCTTCCTTAGCCTCCCTAGTCCTAGGATCACAGCATGTGCCATCCTACATGGCTAAGCCCTTCCTTTCTTTACATCCTGTACCTTATTGCCTATTGGACCAGTCATCTCATAGTTTCAGGGTTTTTTTCCCCCTCCTAATTTTACAATTCTTATTTGGTTCTGTTTTATAGTTTCTGTTCTCAGCTGAAAAATTCTAGTTTTGTCTTAAAAATACATTAAGCATAGTTGTTTTAAGTCTAATAATTCCATTTTTCTGGATCTCCTATAGAGCTCTTTGTATTGTCTGATACTGTTCTTTTCAAAAATATATTATTTTTGTTGTCATTTAGGCCTAATTTTATTTTTTAGAAGTGAGAAATGTATGATCTTACTCTCTTTAGAAAACAGTAGAAAAGATTAGGTTGATCCAATTTTGGTGTCAATAGCTGACTATCTACTGGCTATTCTTTAGGGGATAAAACTGTACAATGGATTTATTTACTTATTTATATATTTATTTATTTTTGCCAGTCTTGGGGCTTGAACTCAGTACCTGGGCACTGTCCCTGAGCTGCTTTTGCTCAAGGCTAGTACTCTACCCTTGAGCCACAGTGCCACTTCCAGCCTTTTCTGTTTATTAGTACTCGAGGAATCAAACCCAGGGCTTCATACATGCTAGGCAAGCACTTTACCACTAGGCCATATTCCCAGCCCCAGGTTTGCTAGTTTTTTGGGAGGGGGTTGCTTGTTTCTCTTGTACTGGAACTTGGACCCAGGGCCCTCTCTCTTAGTTTTTCACTCAAGGTTGGTGCTCTACCACTTGAGGCATTACTCCACTTCCAACTTTTTGCTGATTAATTGGAGATAACAGTCTCATGGACTATTCTGCCCAGGCTGGCTTGGAATTTTGATCCTCAGATCTCAGGCTCCTAAGTAGCTAGGATTATAGGAGTAAGCCCCCAGCAATTGGGCCCATTTTTTCCCCTAATATACCAAAGAATACAAAAAAGGAGAGACAACCTTTCCAGTCTACTCAAAGATAGAAATCCATGACTTATTGTAAACAGAGGACAAGAGGAAAGCCAAGGAAAACAATTCAGTTCAAGTTTCACTAGACATTTTTCTAGCAGTTGAAGGCAATCAGAGACTTCCAAATCATGGACCAATTAATAAACAGGCATAATTCAGGTCTAACTAATTTCAGAAGGAGGACAGTTCCTGGTGTGCTTCCTACATCTTAACCCAGTGCCACCAAGGAGCCAGGTGCTTTCCTTTTTCTGGCTAGCTGCTCAGCTTCCCCAGTATGTGGCCAACATTTTTCTCATGAGCTCCAGAGATTACACAGCAGTTCCAGGAACCTCCTATAACTATGAAGCTGAGACTGGCTTATAGTTATGGAGGTTGAAGGTCAAGAGGCTATAGCCACTGATGAAGACTCAATTATATTATTATTATTATTTGATTGGTCATGGGGCTTTACCTCAGGGCCTAGGATATGTCCCTGAATTCTTTCACTCAAGGCTAGTGCTCTACCATTTTGAGTGACAGTACCACTTCTGGTTTTCTGGTGATTAATTGGAGACAATAGTCTCACAGACTCCTGCTCCAGGCTTGTTTTGAACAGAGATCCTCAGATCTCAGCTCCTGGGTTACAGGTATGAGACACCAGCACCTGGTGTCTCATTATTTAAAATGAGAGCGAAACACTGTGTATTAGTAAATTAAAGTGATGTGAAACCTAGAGGTGATACCTTCTTCCAAAGATTCACTTTACTTTTTTTTGGGGGGGGGTACTATGAAGGTTTGAGGCACTCTACTCTTTGAACACACCCCCAGGAAGACATATACTTTTGATTGGAACTAGGAATCTAGGATTACTTTAATTCAGTAAAGATTGTATTGATTTAAAACTGGATTTCTTACCAGGGCTAGTCTATTTCCCTTTTAATACTTTTACCTTTTCTTCAAGGTCCCAGTATGGGCCCTAAGCCACATTCCCAGCACCCCAATAACTTTTTTTTTTAGAAAGGTGAATGTAGGACTGGAGGCATGGCTCAAGCAGTAAAGTGCCTGCCTCCAAGTACAAAGCCCTGAGGCCATGAAGCCCTAAATTCAAACCCCAGTATTGAATCAATTCAAAGGCTAATGTAACAAAAGCAATTCTGAAGAACAGCAAGGCAAGGAGATACATGGCATATAATACACATCAAAACTTATCAGCTGGGTGTGATGGCACTGCACTACCCAGTAGCTGGTAGATCCAGCTACCTAGAAAGCTGAAGCAGGAAGACAGGATTTATTAGGCCCAGAAGTTGGGGGCAACATGGGGAGACCCAATCTTATGAGCAGATAGATCAAAAGTCACAAAGCTCCCCAAACAGGATTACAGTATAGTTAAAGAGGATGTGAGATAAACCAACAATCCTGGCACAATTAGTTTCTACATAGAAAAAAAAAAAAGAGATTCTCAACACTGACTTTTGTACACCAAACTTAGTTCCAGGTGCATTAAATATCTAAACATAAAAACCAGAAAGTTTAGAGAAAAATACCAAGAAAAAATTTCTTGTGTTTGTTTTTAGCAGTACTGGAGTTTGAACTCTGGGGTTGGCACTTTGCTAAGCAGTTGCTTTACTATTTGGGTCACACTTGCAGCCCTAGAAACATTTTCTTATCTGAGACAAAAAGCACAAATAATAAACTATTTTTTGGTTATAATAAAATTAAGTACTTACAAATTAGCAAGAAAAAATAAAATCAGTAAGTGGGCAACAAAAATTAAAAGGAAGAACAGATAAGTAAAATGATATATATATATAATAGAAAATAATACACATCATTTTGTTTAGTATGTTTTAGTAGCTTTAAGTATAAAATATAAATACAACAAACCTAAGTGCTGGAGAAGAAATAAAATTTTTGGTATACAAAACATCAAATGTGCAGTAGTTACCACTGGAAAGAAGAATGAAAGGATTTAACTGTTTCTCTTTCTTTTTTTAATTTACAATAATTTATTTGTGCCTGAACTCAGGGTTGCCAGCTTTTGCTTAGCTTTTTTATTCAAGGCTGGTGCTTTACCACATAAGGCATAATTCCAGTTCTGGCTTTTTGCTCGTTAATTGGAGATGAGAATTTACTGGATTTGTCTATTTGAGCTGGCTTTGAACAGAATTCCTTAGATCACACCATGATTTAGGTGTGAGGCTCCAGAATCCAGTTAACATATTTATTTAGTCAGAAAGTCAGTCAGTCAGTCAGTCAGTCAGTGAGTAATGGGGCTTGAACTCAGGGCCTGGAAGCTGTCCCTGAGCTTTCTTTATTTTTGCTCAAGGACAGCACTTTTCCACTTTGAGCCACAGCTTCACTTGGTTAACTGGTGATAAGAGTCTCACGGACTTTCCTGCCCGGTTAGTCTTTGAATCTTTCTTTGAATCCCAATCTTCAGATCCCAATCTTCTGAGTAGCTAGGATTACAGGTGTGAGCCGCCAGCGCCCAGCTTAACTTTTATTTATATATAAAAGGATGCAAATTTGGCAAATGTTAATACTTTTTAATGTTAATACTCAAGTATTATCTTTCTACCAGTCTGTGTTTTTAAAAACCGTTCAAATGAAAAGGGAGAAAATGGTTATTTTTTACTTGAACAGATGCAAAAATCAAAACGCTCTCTTCTAGCAAACTGTCTAAATGAAAACAAAAGTCAGCGTCACTCTTTAAAAGGCCGGCAGAAAGTGTCGTCCCGGCTTAACAGGGTTTTTAATGAAGCCCAGGACTTGTTATGTGCCTACCATTAAACTGAGTAGTTATTATGTCCAGGCAGTTTAGCGCGTAAATATTAAAGGTTGCAGAACACGTTGGAAGTCTATTCCAGTACATTAGGAATGTTTTTTACGTTCAGAAAATCAACATTACTACACACATCTGAACCACACTTCCTGAGTTAAATGTCCACCTATCTAAAAAAACAAAACAAAACAAAAAAACTTAAAAAAAATCCCCCCAAACCAAACCCCCCACATCGATTCGTGAAGTTCTTCCAATTCAGTACGTTTAGCTCTTTCGGAAGTTGCAAAGGCCATTTGCTACTGATTAAAAACAGAACAAAAAACGATCAGGCCTTAGGAACGCACACGCGGTTGGCACACACACGCCACTCCCGGGCCGGGCAGGGATTTAGACCCGCTTCGTAGCGTTGTCCCCGCGGATCTCAGCTCCGTGGCGCCCGGAGAGGCCGCCCGGGCGCACCCGTGACCTTTCGGGCTTCCACCGACTCCTCAAGAGGTTGTAAACAGCTTTTACAAAAAGGGCTCTTCTCCGGGTCGAGGTCGGGCTGGACCAACGCCGATCTCAACTGCTGGAGGCCAAAGTTCCAAGCCTGGCCAGGGGTCCGGGCGGCGGCGGCGCCGGGGTCCGCGAACCCGCGCAGGCCCCCCGCCCTCCCGCCCCCCAACTTCGCCTCTCCCCCACGCCCGGCTCCCACGGACGCGCCCGGGCGCTCCGGGGAAAACCTCACCGCAACACCGCGGACTCGGAAACCGCCTGGGCCCGCGTCCGGGGTCCCCGCGGACCCCCGCCGGCCACCCCCCCTCCCTCCCACCCCCCTCCCGTAACGGCCTCAACCGCCTCCGGCCAAGCCCCTGCTTCCGGCCCACCAAACTCCGTGCGCCAAGGATTTCACACTCACTGGAAGGTGGGGCCGGGTCCTGGTCCCGGCCCGGCCCCCGGAATTCGGCGGGTCTCCCAGGGTTTCGGGGGAGGCTGAGGCTGCGACGCCATGTCTCCGCCTCGGGTCGGCTGCCGCTCCCGGCCCGGCCTGTCCCCGGCCCCGGTACACAAACGCCTCACGCGCCAGGCACGATGAGACGAACGCCGAGCATCCCACCCCGCCCGTCCCGACAGGTCTGGGGCCAGCTTTGGGGGCGTCTATCTGGGACCAGGAGAATGCTACTCATTCGTGGGAGGAAAAGTTCCCTTCTTACTTTCCCTAGGAAGAGTCTGCGTCCTAAAGTGGCGGAGGTGGGTTCATCGATACTTCCGGCAGAGGCTAGTGTGGCCTAGAACTGAGCGTGTGTGTGTGTGTGTGTGTGGGGGGGCTTCTCGGGGAGCGGCCCTGCCGCTGGGGAGCGATGCCCGCGGCGCGGTCGAGCCCACAGACAGGGTGGGGTGTGCCCACGACCGCACACCCGGAGGTTCGTACAGATCTCCCTACAAATAGGGAGACGTTCGCCAGTCCTCGCTGGAGGGGGCCTGGTACTTTCGTTCCAAAGCTCGGGTTTCCTCGGGGAGCAGAATTGCTAGGCGCACCGAGTGCGTGGCCTTTAGTCTTCCCCGTTCCCTCCGAGGGCCGGAAGGGTTAAATCCCTGGGTCCCGGCATCTCCGGAGCAGGTGAGACGGGGAGGTCTGAGCAGACGGGTTCGGGCCCCGCCGTGGGAGAGTTGCAGCGGAAGGAGATCGTTGTCGAGACCGCGGGAGCGGCCTTGTGGGCCGGAAGAGGTAAGTAGGAAGTTTCTTGGACCAGAGCAAAGAGGATAAGGGATTGCTTGGATCGAGCTTAGACGCGGGGGTGAACTTTCCAAGAACTCAGTGGCTGAGTAACTTAACCGTAGCCCAGTCGAAATGGTGACCATGGCCTCTGGAAATGCACACTCCCACCCTGAAGCCACGAGACGGATTGCATCCGTGTGCATGGAAATGAATTTTGGAACATCTCACCGTGTGACACTCCAGCCTCTCCCCCCCTCCCCTCGTCTTTCTTTCCTCCTCCTTTTTTCCTCCCCATTTTTTTCATTCCATTGTTTCAATTTTTTTTTTTTTTTAATCTTTGCAATTGACCAGAAGGAAGGAAGTCCCTCCTTTCCATTAAATCAGACTGGGTATGTGGAGAAGGGGTCCATGCACGTGGTAGCTGCTTCCTTGCAAAGTTTCTAGAGTCCTTTCTGTAAAACAAACATGAAAACAAAAAGCAAAAATCATAATAATGGCAGCTGACACTGGAAAACTTACTGTGTGAGATGTATTTCTCAGGGCTTGCTTGCAATGGTAAATCTAAGGGGACAAACTGATTTTGGGAAATTCTGTCATTTCACTACATCAAGATGGGACTGTGTTAGCGAAATGGAGTTCCCTTCCCATAGCTTAGTACACTCCTTCCCCTCTCCACAGCTTAGCATGCTCCCTTCCTAGGTAACACTAGGCCCATCTAGTAAATAATCAGCCTCCAACCCCCTATACCTTGGGATGGCACTTCTCTGGGGGCAGCTACCACCATAGAAGGCAACAGGAACCCCTTAGAGGGACCTTCAGCAGACCTGAAGGCAATTGCAGGACCCTTTATCTACAATTTGGACAGCACCTATAAATGCTAGTCTGCCATAATGAAGCCCCTGGCCCACACATCCACACCAGGGTCTCCACCTCCTAGCCCCTTCTAGTCCCTACTAAACCTCCTAGGTTATCTAGGTCACTTCAGACAATAGCCGGTGCTGCTTCTCCCTTGTAAGAAGGGATTTTGCCGGCCCCTCTCTCCACAATAAACCTTTCTTTGTTTTCTGTACCTGGATGTCTGCATAGTTTTCTGGCAAGGTCCAAATAATCTAACAGGCATAACCAGATTCCTTTTAATGTTAACATACTTGAGAAGTAAATATGTTACTTAAGTGAAAGTGTTGAGAGGTCTATAAATCTAAGGCTCAATTATTAACACATCTGAGTGTTTTGAACATCTTGAAATTACTCAGGTCAGGAAATTTTATCATTCTTAACAGGTCTGAGAACTTTTCAGACCCAGAATGTCATTTCCTGACTGCATAGTACTCTTATTTTAATCGATCTATTGGAGAAACAACATTCTATCTTTAAGCTAAAGGAAAAAAAAGCAAAAATGTAGCTATTTAAGTTGAAAAAAAAAGTTTCACTAAGAAGTTTTCTTCTAAAGCCTGTTGCTGGTTTTAATTTTTGTTGTTGTTTTACCTGTCCTGGGCCTTAAACTCTGAGCCTAGTTGCTTTCCCTAAACTCCTTTTGCTCAAGGCTAGTATTCTGCCACTTGAGCTACAACACTGCTTCCAGCTTTTTCTGTCATTAATTACAGATAAAGTTTCAGACATTCCTGCTTGGGCTGGCTTTCAGCTGCGATCCTCAGATCTCAGTCTCTGGCTTTTTTTTTTTTAATGGAAAGAGGGTATATTTGTTTTTCTTTCAAGTTAAAGATTAATTCTGAATTCAATTGCATCCTAGGCCTGCCTTAACTAATAGAAAGGAGGAGAAAAATAACAATGAGCAAGATAGAAAACCATTTATTTATGAGAGTTCAATCACATGTATTTTATTTTTTATTTTTTTTTTTGAGTCCAGTCGTGGGGCCTGGGCGCTGTCCCTCAGCTCTTCAGCTCAAGGCTATTGCTCTACCACTTGAGCCACAGCACCACTTCCGGCTTTTTTCTTTTTGCTTATGTGGTGCTGAGAAATCGAACCCAGGGCCTCAGGCATGCAAGGCAAGCCCTCTACCACTGAGCCACCTTTCCAGCCCTCACATGTATTTTAAATGCTTATTTTTAGCCTCATGGATCCAGTCCTTTCTCAACATCAAGTTAACAGGTTAAGTGAGTTGGGTAAGATATTCTAATATCAACAATGATCACATAGTTTCATTATTTAGAGTATTCCTGTCTATATCCCAAGTACTTTGTTGACAATACCCTTGAACCTAGATTTACTTAGGCAACCCTGGTTTCTCAATTTTGGTGTATGAAAGTTCTTACTGTGTCCAAACAAGCCTGGCTTTTTTCTCTATTGTTAAAATCATACTTACCTGAAGTAGAACACAGCTCTGGAATATTTACTTGTCTTGATAAGTAGCCACAGACATTTAGAAACTTATAAATAGTGAGTTTTAAAGGTCTGGAAAACACAGATTTAACTATAGGAATTACATCTTCATAGTAAACTCTTGGTAAGAGCTTTATTGTCCCACAGATTTTAAGCAAGTTTATTGACTTATGAAATTACACAAATTAAGAAATACTGCTGTCTATATGACCCAATTGTAACATTCTACAACTTTTGCAATCATTTAAAATAAATCAGTTCATCATTTTAAAGTAAATGTGGATCCATTGACTATTTTAAATAAAATCATTAGTTCATTATTTTAAAGTAAATGTGGATCCATTGACTAATCAAATGAATTTTTGCCAAACATAGAGTTATTGGTAACTTCAACTTTTGGTACCTTTCTTTCCTAGCAGTAGAAAATTCTATGTTGGCTTCTCCAATACAAATATAATTAAGTTTTTTAAAATGTGTTTATTCAGATTTCAAAACTTGGCACCATTTAAGGCAAATGATTACTCATATTTTACACTTTTTTTTCTACTCCTAGATTAAAAGGAGCAAGTTTTTCTCATTTTGCAAACAATTACTTGGAACTTATTTATATCATCAAAATTGATTCTTTGAGTCCTACTGAAGTATTTGTTTAATTTTTTTTTTAATTTTTGGTGGTGATTTGAACTCAGGGCTTCAAGTGTTCTACCACTTGAGCCATGCCTCCTTCCTAATCAATATATTTTAAGTATTTGATTGCTATCAATAAGGCTAGACAACTATTACTATATAAATTGATCTGAATTATTTTCTAACAAACTCATTTTTCAATAGGAAAAAATTAATACCTTAGCAACTCTCTTAACACTGAATATTACAAAATTAAAAGTAAGACTTCACCTCTGTTTTTTTCTCTTAACACTGAATATTACAAAATTAAAAGTAAGACTTCACCTCTGTTTTTTTTTTTTTTTTTTGGGTCCAGTCGTGGGGCCTGAACTCTGGGCCTGGGCACTGTCCCTCAGCTCTTCAGCTCAAGGCTAGTGCTCTACCACTTGAGCCACAGTGCCACTTCCGCCTTTTTTCTTTTTGCTTATGTGGTGCTGAGGAATTGAACCCAGGGCCTCAGGCATGCAAGGCAAGCGCTCTACCACTGAGCCACCTTCCCAGCCCCAATTCACCTCACCTCTGTTTTCATTACTCCTCTCAGCAGCAACCTTTTTATTTCATTCTTTTTTTTTTTTTTATTGGGTCCGGTCGTGGGGCCTGAACTCTGGAATCGAACCCAGGGCCTCATGCATGCAAGGCAAGCGCTCTACCACTGAGCCACCTTCCCAGCCCCTCATTTATTTATTTATTTAATTGTGTTTGTACTGGGACTTGACTCAGGGCTTTATGCTCTTGCTCAGCCTTTTCTGCTCAAGGCTGGTGCTCTACCACTTCTGCTTTTTGCTGGCCAGAGGAGTCTCTTGGATTTGTTTGCCTAGGCTGGGTTTTAAACCAGGATCCTTAGACTCAGCCTCCTGAGAAGCTAGGAGATCTGGTTCCTGGCTTATTTTTCTTAATTCACTTGATTATATTGATATACTTTATCATAAACTAATCTAAATTATTTTGCAATTCAAATTTTTTACTTGACCCACCTTTTTTTTCCTTATGAAAAGGAGTCTTATTATATTGCCCAGGCTGGCCTAGAACACATATGCTCAAGTGATCTTTCCACCTCAGCTCCCTAGAGCTGGGATTGTAAGAGCTAATCACTGCACTTGACTCATCACTGTATTTGATCTTCTTCCAGTCTCATTCAAGTTCATATGTCTATCACACAAAGGACATTATGGGAGAGTGCAAAGTTGTGTAAATTGAAACTATTTTTTATTCTAAGGGTGATGACATATTTGTCTGTGGTAGGAGAACATTGAAATTGCTCATTAGCTTTCCTTTCCTTTCTTTCTAGTTATAATTATCAAGTATGTTTCCATTGACTGAAGAAAACAAACTTGTGGCCCACTTGTTGCTCAGTTCTGGAACCTGTCCAAGATGTATCTTCAGATTCTGTGGTGTGGATTTTCATGCACCTTACAAACTTCCATACAAGGTATTTTCTTTATTTTTTTGAATTAAGAGGTTTCCTCCCATACTACTACTATTATTATTGTTATTATTATTGTTGTTGTTACTATTGCCAGTCCTGGGGCTTGAACTCAGGGTCTGGGCGCTGTCCCTGAGCTATTTTGCACAAGATTAGCATTCTACCACTTGAGCTCTACTTCTAGCTTTTTTTGGTGCTTTTTTAAGTGTTCACATTTATATCTATCATATGGTATAGACAGATCTCTTTTAAAATATTTTTTTTATTTTGTTTATTTATTTTTTATTATAAAAATACCGCACAGAGGAGTTATAATCACATAAGCAAGATAATGAGTACATATCTTATCAAGCATTGTTGCCTCCTCCTTTGTTTTAGACAGATCTTTGTAGAGGAATTTACTGGTACTTTTAATGTTTACATGGATTTTTTTCCCAAAGGACATTTGAATAGAATATCACAAAATACTGCTTCTGGGCTGGGAATTTCGCTTAGTGGTAGCATGAAGCCTTGGGTTTGATTCCTTAGTATTACATAAACAGCTAGCTACTCAGGAGGCTGAGATCTGATTGTGGTTCAAAGCCAGCCCAGGCAGGAAAGTCCGTGAGACTCTTATCTCCAATAAACCACTCAGAAAATTATAAGTCATACTGTGGCTCAAGTGGTAGAGTTCTAGCCTTGAGCTGAAAGGCCGAGTGACAGCATCCAGTTAAAAAAAAAATATCACAGAAATGTTTGTTTTCTTTGTCAGTTGTGAAGCTTGAACTCACGGCCTGGGTGCTGTCCTTGAGCCTCTAAATGCTTAAGGCTAGCGCTCTACCACTCGAGCCACAGCACTACTTCCAGCTTTTGAGTGGTTAATTTGAGATAAGAGTCTCACAGGGACTTCTGCCTGGGCTGGCTTCCCTTTGTGTTTCTCAGATCTCAGCCTCCTGAGTAGCTAGGATTATACGTGTGAGCTATTGGCTCCTGGCTAGAATGTTTCTTTAAATTAGTGTATATAAATCATTTGTAATTATGGTGCCAAATTTCAGCACTATCATTATCTGTGTATTATTTATTAAATTGTCTGAAGATATTTCACTTAATGGACTTCTCCAAATGATTGAATTTTATATTAAAGAAATACTGTACTTGTGATATTTTAGTGATTGTGAGGAAGGATTGTGGTTCAGTTTATATTTCTTCTCTCTTCTTATCTCTTCTCCTTTCCCCTTCCTTTATCTCCCCTTTCCCCACCCTTTCTTTTCACTTTTTTTTTTTTTTTTTTGTCAATCGAGGGGCTTGAACTCTGGGCCTGGGAGCTGTACCTGAGCTCTTCAGCTCAAGGTGAGCAGTCTACCACTTGAGCCACAGTTCCACTTCTGGTTTTCTGGTGGTTAATTGGAGATAAGAGTCTCAGGGACTTTCCTGTCTGGGCTGGCTTTAAACCATGATCCTCAGACTCAGCCTCCTGAGTGGCTAGGATTACAGGCATGAGCCACTGGTGCCTGGCCGCTTTTTTTTTTTAAATGCTTGAATCTGAATAGTAATCCAAGGCCTTGTATATGCTAACCAGGCATTTTATATCTGCATCTCCAGTCCAATTTATATTTTTATGAATTACCAAAATTAACAAAAAACCACTCTCACAGAGTTACAAACTAGATTAATAAATTTGTTGGTGGTACTTTTCTGCCTGAGATTTAGTATTTTACCTTCACTGATGTATGGAATCCCATTGGGAAAATACAGTGGTTGTTAGATAAGTCTCTTCAATTCCATAGAAAGCCAGTACTGTCTAATAAAATAAATTCATTGTTCCAGCATTTATATAAGTCATCACTGCATGTACTGTTGTTTTCATGCTTTTATCTTATCCAGAAATCCTGAAGGACATTATAGAAGGATCATTACTTTTTCTTTCATTAACTTTTCAGGAGTTGCTTAGTGATCTACAGAAATTTCTGGAGTCTGGAAAAGATGAATTGGTTTTGGAAGTTCCAAACCCACCTCCCAAGAAAATTCGGCTACAAGAACTGGAAGATGGGGTTGATAATTTAATTCGAAATGGAGAAGGCAATATCTCTTATATTGAAGATGGAAGCATTGCTTCCAAGAACTCAAATTTTAGTGTATGCAATGTTTGCCTTGGAATTCTCCAAGAATTCTGTGAAAAAGAGTTCATTATGAAGGTAAATAATATTTTTTGTTACAGATACACCTATGCCAACATTTTCAGTCTTGAGGCTCAGAGTACTTGTATGCATAGAAAGGAACCATGCCATTCATTTCAACTTGTTTCACACTAATGTATAATTGAAACATGATTTTGTTTTTAAAACCAAAATCCACTACTCTTTGTATTGACATATCTGAAACATAATGAACTATATCCCTGTATCTCAATCATGAGTGTTGTTCAACTGAGTGCTGTTTTCCTATTGCTGTTCAACATAGCTAAAGAGATAGAGGACGCTTTTTGTAATGCCTGGTATTACCTGAAAAAGGTTGATTACAGTTTTATAAAAGGTAAATGTTTAAATGTGGAACTACTTTTTATTTCCTGTTGTCAAGAATATTATATTTAGCTTTATTTTATTGGCAGGCAATTAAAAGTTAGGAAGTAATCTAGTAGAAAGCTAATGTTTTGCGGTTTTTTGGTATCAGACTTCCTGTTCTTTTGTTGTTGATTTTTTTTTTTTTTTGTTATTGGTCTTAGGGCCTGAACTGTGGGCCTAGGCACTGTCCCTCAGCTCTTCAGCTCAAGGCTAGTGCTCTACCACAGCACCACTTCTGGCTTTTTCTGCTTATGTGGTGCTGAGGAATTGAACTCAGGGCCTCATGCATGCAAGGCAAGCACTCTATCACTGAGCCACATTCCCAGCCCCAGACTGTTCTTGCTTGCTTTTTGACCTGTAGCTGAGGCTCTATTACTTGAGCCATACCTTGACTTCTGTTTTGTGCTGGTTAATTGAACATAAGAGTGTCTAAGATTTGTCTGCCTTGGCTGGCTTCAAACTGAGATCCTCAGATTTCATCCTTCTGAGTAGTGTGGTTTATAGGTGTGAGCCACTGGCAACCAGTGGCCATTTTGACACTCAACCACTTGTACTAAGGAGTCAGTTGTAGCTGTTTTGGACCTTATAATATTTTCAGGGTCATAATTAGAATAGAAAATGTGTCATTTTAGGATGTTTATAAGAATTCTGAATCAACTGTGAAAGGTTTTATTTAAATTTGATTTTGGGGATTAAACCCATGTCCTGGCACATGTTTCACAATAGCTATCTCTGGGGTACATCCGTATCCTCTATCTGAAAGTTTGGAAAGTTTTCAGTCATTTCCTGGACAGAAATTCATGTTCTGAAGATTAGAGTAAGATTTTAGTCAATTCTTGGGACTTATGTAATTGTAATGCTTTTTTTAGGTATGCCAAAAGGTTGAAGCTTCTGGGTTTGAATTCAACAACCTGGTATTTTCCGTATCCTTTCCACCACAGCTGTCTGTAAGAGAGGTAAGGTCTTTTTTTTTTTTTTTGTGGGGCTCAAACTCTGGGCCTGGGCGCTGCCCCTGAGCTCTTCAGCCCAAGGCGAGCGCTCTACCACTTGAGTCACAGCGCCACTTCTGGTTTCATGGTTAATTGGAGATAAGAGTCGCGCAGACTTTTTCCTGCCCGATCTGGCTTTGAACTGTGATCCTTAGATCTCAGCCTCCTGAGTAGCTAGGTGAGCCACTGTGGCCTGTAAGGTAAAGTCTTTTGTACATTTAAAAGTCTATGTGAGTCGGGAAAAATCACAACATGCAGCCAAGATATCCAAACAATTTTAACAGACTACTTTCAAAAGCTATGCTCTCTAAAGAGTATAACCTGTCAGAAATGGATGCATTTTTAGAGAAATACAAGTTGTCCAAACTGAGCAAAGAAGAAGTAAATCAACTAAATAAGCCAATATCCTACAGCGAGATACAGGAAGCAATCAGAAGTCTTCCAACAAAGAAAAGCCCAGGACCAGATGGATTCACAACGGAATTCTATGAGACCTTTAAAGAAGAACTAATACCCATACTCCTCAAGCTCTTCAGAGAAACAGAGAAGGAGGGAGCTATAACAAACTCATTCTACGAAGCCAATATCACATTCATCCCCCAAACCAGGCAAAGACCCAACCAAAAAGAATTACAGGCCAATTTCCTTGATGAACACAGATGCAAAGAACCTTAACAAAATTCTAGCTAACAGAATCCAGAAACACATAAAAAAATCATGCACTACGACCAGGTAGGCTTCATCCCAGAGATGCAGGGATGGTTTAACATATGTAAGTTAATAAATGTAATCCAACACATCAACAGAGCCAAGGTCAAGAATCACATGGTTATCTCCACAGATGCAGAAAAGGCCTTTGATAAAATTCAACATTCATTCATGCTAAAAGCTCTGGAGAAAATAGGAATAGAAGGAACATTTCTTAAAACAATAAAAGCCATTTACAACAGACCAATAGCCAATATTACACTTAATGGGGAAAAGCTACAACCAATTCTCCTAAAATCAGGAACAAGGCAAGGATGCCCACTGTGTCCACTCCTCTTCAATATAGTCTTGGATCCCTTAGCCAGGGCAATAACGCAAGAAAAAGACATTAAAGGGATCCACATAGGGAAAGAAGAAGTTAAATTATCCCTTTTTGCAGATGACACAATACTATACCTTCACGATCCCAAAAACTCCACCCCAAACTCTTAGAAATCATAAATCACTTCGGCAAAGTAGCAGGATACAAAATCAACCCACAAAAATCAGTCGCCTTCCTGTACACTGACAATGTACAAGCAGAGAAGGAAATAAAGGAAGCAACCCCACTCACAATAACCTCCCCAAAAGTAAAATATCTAGGAATTAACCTAACCAAAAATGTAAAAGAACTATTTAATAAAAACTATAAAAAGTTAAAGAAAGAACTTACAGAAGACACTACGAAATGGAAAGACCTCCCATGCTCTTGGATAGGCAGATTTAATATAGTGAAAATGGCAATACTGCCAAAATTAATATACAAATTCAATGCAATTCCTATAAAAATCCCAATGACGTACATCTCTGAAATACAGAAAACAGTCCAAAAATTTATATGGAACAACAAAAGACCTAGAATAGCCAAAACAATTCTAGGGAATAAAGACAACATGGGAAGGATATCCATGCCAAACTTCAAACTCTACTATAGAGCCATAATAGCAAAGACAGCATGGTACTGGCACAAAAACAGACCTGAAGACCAATGGAATAGAACAGAAGATCCAAAAATAAATCCACTTGCCTACAGTTAGCTGATATTTGACAAAGGAGCCAAAGACATACAATGGAAGAAACACAGCCTCTTCAACCACTGGTGCTGGGAAAACAGGGCAGCCACATGCAGAAGACTAAAAGTGGACCCCAGCCTATCACCATGCACCAACATCAACTCAAAATGGATTAAAGACCTTAACATCAAACCTGAATCTCTGAAACTACTGCAGGACAGAGTAGGAGAGACACTTGAACTAATAGGCACAGGAAGGAACTTCCTGAACAGAGTCCCAGGGTCACAACAAATTGGAGAGAGACTCGACAAATGGGACTACCTTAAAATAGAAAGTTTCTGCACAGCTAAATCTATCGCAACCAAGCTAGAAAGACAACCAACTAATTGGGAAAAAATATTTACCAGCAATATATCAGACAAGGGGTTAACATCCAGTATATACAGGGAACTCAAGAAACTAATCCCTCCCAAACCTAACAAACCAATTACTAAATGGGCAAGGGAACTAAAGAGAGAATTCTCAGATGAAGAGATAAAAATGGCAAAGAAACACATGAGGAAATGTTCACCATCCCTGGTTGTGAAGGAAATGCAAATAAAGTCAACCCTGAGATACCACCTTACCCCAGTCAGAATGTCCCACATCCACAAATCAGCTAACGACAAGTGCTGGAGGGGATGCGGAGAAAGAGGAACCCTATTACACTGCTGGTGGGAATGTACACTTATACAACCACTTTGGAAAGCAGTCTGGAGGGTCCTTAGAAAGCTAAATATTGACCTCCCTTATGACCCAGTCATACCACTTCTAGGCATCTATCCTGAACAACAGGAACCAGTATACAAGGACACATGCACCTCCATGTTTATTGCAGCACTGTTCACAATAGCCAGGATATGGAAACAACCCAGATGTCCCACCACAGATGAATGGATCCAAAAATTGTGTTATCTATACAATGGAATATTATGCAGCCATTAGAAATGACAAAATAATGGCATTTGCAGGGAAATGGATGGAGCTAGAAGAAATGTTGAACGAGGTAAGCCAAGAACAAAGAGACAAACGGTACACGGTCTCCCTGATAAGTGGATGTTAAATCCAAAATGTTAGGTGATACGACAAAATTAACAGGAGTTAAGAAACAAAGGACTTCCACTCATCTGGTCGGATCACTACTAAATAACCCCATGCTGCTGATCAAATGCATGGTATATATGTGTACACTGGAGGGGAACCAGGAAGATGACACAGAACTAGAGGGAATCGGAAAAACTTACAAGAGTGGTACCCATCAGCTGCACTGGACATTGACCAAAATGAACTAAGCAACTCAATGGCAGTGATGGGAGGGAGGGAACAAGTGGGAAAGAGGGAACAGCTGATGCTATGCAAAACAAAAGAAATGTACATATCACCCAATGTGGAAGAAATAGCTGTATCGAAAAGCTCAATAACTCATAGATGTTATAGACTGTGATAGACATTTTGCTCCAGGAAAGTTAGAATGTGTTTATGACTTTAACTGAGCATCACTATCCCACAATACTGTGAAATTTGGGAAATTATGTAATCACTTAATCACAATTAAAAATTTGAAAAAAAAAAAGTCTATGTGAGGGCCGGGCGCCAGTAGCTCACGCCTGTAATCCTAGCTACTCAGGAGGCTGAGATCTGAGGCTCATGGTTCAAAGCTAGCTCGGGCAGGAAAGTCTGTGAGACTCTTATCTCCAATAAACCACCAGAAAACCAGAAGTGGCGCTGTGGCTCAAGTGGTAGGGTGCTAGCCTTGAGCTGAAGAGCTGAGGAACAGCATCCAGGCCCAGAGTTCAAGCCCATGACTGACAAAAAAAAAAAAGTCAGTGTGAGGACCTGGGAATGTGGCTTAGTGGTAGAGTGTTGCCTAGTATTCATGAAGCCCTGGGTCCGAGTCCTCAGTACCACATAAACTGAAAAGGCTGGAAGTGGCGCTGTGGCTCAAGTAGTAGAGTGCTTGCCTTGAGCAAAAGAAGCTCAGGGATAGTCCCCAGGCCCTGAGTTTAAGCCACAACTGGCAAAAAAAAAAAAAGAAAAGAAAAGAAAAAGAAAGTCTATGTGAGGAGTAGAGGTGAGGCTCAGGCCAAAAACATCAGTCAATGAGAAAAAGTGTCAGATACCAAGTTCAAGTCTCACTCTTGGTTCCCTTCCCCCTTCGGAAAAGTCTGTATTAGAACTGTGTACCATGGCTCATGCCTGTAATCCTAGCTACTCACAAGCCTGAGATCTGAGGATCCCAGTTTGAAGTCATCCAGGGGAGACAAATCTGAGATACTCTTATCTCCAGTTAACCAGTTGTGGCTCAAGTGGTAAACCACTAGCCTTCAGCACAAAAGCTCAGGTCTAATGCCCAGGCACTGAGTTCAAGCTCCAAGACTGACATAAAAGACACAAACAACTAAACAGAAAGTCTATGTGCTGGTGCTTCAAACCCATAATTCTAGCTGCTTAGAAGGCAGAGGTTTGAGAATTGAGATTTGAAGCTAGCCTGGCAGGAGAGTCAGTTAACCACACACACACAAAAAGCCAAAAGTATAGCTGCAGCTCAAGTGAGAGCATCAGACTTTAGTGGAAAAAGTTAAGGGACATTACTCATGCACTGAGTTCAAGCCCTGGTACTGGTGCCAGTGTGCACATGCGCGCGCGTATGCACACACACACACACACACACACTCACACGTAAAAGGGGGTTAGAGATATACTCAATGGTAGAGTGCCTAGGTAGCATTCACAAGGTTATGGGTTTCTTTTTTTTTTTTTTTTTTTGGGTCTGGTAGTGGGGTCTGAACTCTGGGCCTGGGTGCTGTCCCTCAGCTCTTCAGCTCAAGGCTAGCGCTCTACCACTTGAGCCACAGCGCCACTTCTGGCTTTTTTCTTTTTTTTTATTTTTGGTTATATGGTGCTGAGGAATCGAACTCAGGGCCTCATGCATGCAAGGCAAGTGCTCTACTACTGAGCCACCTTCCCAGCCCCAAGGTTATGGGTTTCATTCCCAGCACTGAGGGGAAAAAAATCTATGTGTGAAGTACATGCTGGGAATTTCTCAAAATATGAAAATATGGAAATATTCCTTTGCCTATTACATTTTCCACATTTTTGTTACTTATACTGAATTACTGAAACAATTTATAGCTGCTAATTAAATATTTAATTAGCAAATGAGAAAAG